AAAAAAAAAAAGTGCATTTTCTTTTGAGAAACTAAGCCAAGCACCCTAACTAATCAAAATAAGTCTTCTTAATTGTTGAAACATTAGCACTATTAATTTCCCAAATTTTTTGACCAAACAAGATAAAAGGCATAAGCTATTAGCAGTTTATTTAACTAAACTAGTGGCATAAGTGCCTTATAAGTAAATGAAAATCTTAAAGAAAAAATAGCAATTAATGAATAATTTCCTCTAATGAGAAGCAAAATAACATTTTTCTCACTGCATGAATCATTTCATAATATACTCAATCGATTACATACCAAAATTGAAGGCATATCCACATGTCTGTATATGTCCAAAACTAAACTAAATAGCACACATAGTAGTACTTATAACACAACCCTTAGTTTAAGTTTCTATTCAGCAACTCTATTCAGGTCTTGAGTAACATTATACAGCCCTTCTTTACCCTCCAACATCTTATGTGGAGGGTAAAAGTGAAAGTTTAAGGCACCATCTCCACTTACATAAACAACCCTAAACACATCATACTTCAAATCAAGTGAAAATCCATCAAAATAAGGAAGAACACTCCTAGAATCTTGATTCAGGATGTAGTTATAGCAGCATTGCAACGATTTCCACACAAAAATGGCAGCAACTTTGGGTATGGTTTGACATTTTAAACAAACTCCAGCAACCGCGCCATCCATCTTGTTGAACCGGTCCTTGAATATGGCTAAGCACGCGTAGGAAAAATGTTCGATTGGCATGTCATGTTGATGTGAACAAGAGGCCGCGGAGTTCATGGAAACTATATCCCCAGTGTAGAACTTCGCGGCGGGGGAATGATCCTTTGTTTCTCCAGCATATGCATCATAGAAGCCATGTTCCATTAGGATTGCCATGCTTGATACATTTGTTAGCATTGAGAGCTGATCATGAAAGGAAAATGGAGGAACATTAGCAATTATGTAACAAGAATAGAACCTTTAAGTAATACACAAAGATTAAAACTTCTATATTTTCCTCTCTTGTTTAAAAGGGTCGTCCAGTGCATTGCATGCAGGCTTACTCTACATTTTTGCAAGAGGCTGTTTTCACAGCTCAAATCGGAGGTTACATGACAGCAACTTTATCAATTACGCCAAGATTCCCTTTCATTTTCCTCTCTTGTTTGATTGGCATAAATTAAAGATGAGAAAATGGCAAGAGGGAAAGTACTTCAGATTTGAATGGAAAAGTTTTTGAATTGGAGTTTAAGTTTTGTGAATTGACAGTACATAACTTATAGTACATCATTAAGCTAAATATACCTATAATAACAAGTAACTTTTTATATCAAGCCTGATATGATAACCTATAGTAAAGAAGTAGAAGCATCATTATATTATCTAACTTACAAGAGCTGCATCAAGTAAGTCCTTATTTTCACCAGATCTCTTTATCCATGCTCCATACCATATCATCTGCTCTCCAAAGAAAGATAATATAAATTAACAATCAAATTCATATAAGCTAGAAAAGAAGATTACATAAATGTTTATTTCTCTGTTATATAGGGATGCTGTTATAGAGACATTCCTACATAATTATATTCGTCATTTTTTTTTATAATTTAAAGGATAACAAATTTCTTTTTTGCACATATACACACTGTTAAATCTCGTTGATATAAGGAAAGCTTAATGTAGGAAAGGTGACTCAGAAATTGCTTATAGGCTTGAATTTTAGGCATAACATTCTTGCATTTTCTGCAATCACCTTATTTAAATTTCTGAGTCCGAACTGCTCTCCTGTTTCTTTTGAAAAACGTCTTGAATAAAACGATATAAAACACCTGATTCATCTCAAACCATTTTTTTTTTTCAAAATTTCGAAAAAACGCCGAAACTCCAAGCTATTTTTCAAGTATTCTAAAAACTTCAAAAAGAATCAAAATTTTGAGTAAAAACTATTTAACAAACACAATCGTGGTGTTTCTCTACTAAAATCACAAAGAACAATTAATCCAAATAGCCGTTAATCTAACCATTTAAACTAAAAATAGCCGGTGAAGATATATAATATATATAATTTATATATTATATGTATATAATTATGTATAATTAATGTATAATCTATGTATATAGCTAAAAAAAAAGGAAACAATGAATATGACCGGCTATTTGTGTATAAAGATCCCAATCACAAATGACCTAAAGCCCACAAAGTAAGAGAATTAAATGGAAGAGACTTAAGAATAGAACACATACCATATTGCCATGAATACTTCTAAAAATGGCACTATGAACACAGCCAAGACTTTCTGTACAAAAAGAGAAATTCTTGAGAGCTTCCACAAGATCATCTACAATCACTATTGTTGGCCTGAATATGAAAAAACTTGCATCCAAATTTCTGCTATTAAATGGAAAAAAGCAAGCCATAATATTCAATTTCTTCTTCTTGTTCTTGATTAACTTTCCTTCAATTTCCCTTTCGTTGATCTTCCTCTTCTAATCAATTCAAATGCATTTCTACAAGAAGAAAAAAAAAGGAAGAAAAGGGTATTTGGGATTTGGATTTTGTTGGACTGATTGATTAGTTTGAGTTTCAACTTTCAACTAAGGTATGCAATCAGTCATATAGGAATTTTTTCTTTGGTCCTACTTTGGTTGGCCAATGTGTAGTTTTTTGAAGAATTTAGTACTGCCAAAGATTTGGAATAATCCCATTTGGTCTTGCACTTTGACTGGGATCATCAAAGTGACTAATTTGAATAATTTGTTCTCAATTTGACTTTTCATGCTTTTAACAATTCAATATTGAGTTTATGTTTTTAGTATGCTAACAATGTAAAAATATTTACATTACCAAACAATAAATTATGCACATATGATAGGGTAACTTGAAAAATAGAGTAATAATATGCTATAATCAATTAAATTATATTTGATAATTGATGTAAAAATAATTCAATGTCAATGTATATATCTTAAACTCATATACTACTGAGTTTAACTTAAATAGATTGACAGTGTATATAAATATTTAGACTGTCAGATTGCTTAAAAAATAATTACAAATAAATATCGAAAATAAATACCTTGTTACAACATGTTAACATACACTTCTAGTGTAAACAAAATTGCAATACGTATGTAATAGTATATTATGAAATAAGAAGTTAAGTTATATATTAATATCATTAGTACCCAACTCCAAATTATTTATTTAACAGTGCTCGAGTTCAACGAATAAAAATAATAGTTAAAATTGCTAGCAACTTTTGTTGGAATATTCCCGCAGCCCAACTTGGACTAGCCATGAGCTCTCCTGTGCCCCTCATGTTATTCTACAGTTATAAACTTTGGTTATTAATTAATTATTCATTCAAGAAATACAGTTTTTATTATTTTTGTTCAATTTATTGGGTACGAGGTACGCTGATATGAATTTAAAAATATCAAACAAACACTTGAAAAAAAATAATTATTTTTTGCATCCAACCTTGCAATACTTGGGTAAGTCTCACTAGAAAGTTGACGTGTCAGAAACCAAACTCAAAACTAGACCAACATGGCGTAGTCATTTTGTTGCGAGCCCTATTACGTGAATTCATAACTTTAAAAATATTATGAGTTTAATATTAAAAATTTTAAAATTGAATCAATAGAATTTAAATACTGAATCCGCGAGTACCGACACGAGACATCCCAGTGAGGAAATAAAAAAATTGTCAAAACTTTTTTTACTACTATTATCTATTTATCTATTCTATAATATTATACTCTTTTCTTCTATTTGTGTGGTCAAAAATTTATTAAGCCTCCAAGAACTAGTAAAACGGTAGGCAGGTAGGAAATGTTTATCCAGTAAGGCTTGAAGTTTGAAATTTTGACATAGCATATTTAGAAAGTCCCTGCTAAAGTTGAGGTGGAAAAAGAGTAACCCTAAGATAACATCATATGCTTTTCAATTTCAATTATTGTTATACTGAATAATAATTATAATTTTTTACCATCAAATATTGTAATGAGATGGGTAGAATTTATCCACTCTTAATCAATAATCTCGAAATTGAATCATAATAATGAAAAATATCTTCCCTCCTTTAAATGACCTTACGCAACCTAAATTCGAATTAATGACTCCAAAGTGAATATCAATCAATGTGAGAAACGAAAAATAGATAATAATTTATGAGACAATGGACGCGCATTTATAAATAATAATAAAAATATCAATGCAATTCACCACTAAAACTTTATCAGTCGAGGAACTCAAGCAAATAAACAATTCAATACATTTCACCACTAAGATTTTGTATTCGAGGAACTCAAGCAAATTAAACAATTAAATACAGGCCGCCGCTTAAGAGAACTCTTACATTATTATCATTTGACAAACTGTTATATGCCAAATTAATAAGGGAAGAGTAGACTTGTCATTACATGTAGATTAGGAGCGCATATTAGTAATTGATTGGGGAAAGATTAGTGGGAAATTCTCGTATTGCTCATAACACTGAAGATGAAATAATATATCTCCTTATCTCCCTCTTTAATTCTCTAACGATTTCATTTCTCATTTAGCCTATAAGAAGGGTGAGTTTCGAGGTGTGGGGAAATGAAAGAAAAGGAATGTCACAAACTCACAATTAAAGTTTTGAATAAAACTATCTTTTGATTTTTAAAAAGTAATAAAAATGAGATTGTTAAATTTTTTATCATCTATTTTACCGCAGACCTTACCCCTACCCGGGGTAGAGAAGCTGTTTCTGATAGAAATCGATTTCCTCACTCCAAGAATTCCTGATCTTGCTCTTGGGGTGACTCGAACTTACAAACTCTTGGTCGAAGTGAAATGTGTTTACCCAGAGCAACCAACTCTTGCCTTGTCAAGAAAGTCTAGATTGAGCATGTTATACAAACATGTGTTGCCATATTTCTCTGTCAACACGACAAGTCTTATCAATATCAGTTCACCACAAACAACTAGAAACAGTGTCTGGTAATCAATCAGCCATGGAAATTGTAACCTACGCTGCCTACCTTGAAAGACTATCATATATGACCCAAATAAGTATCTTGACAGCTTATAAGCATGTGACAATATTTGACTGGACATCAAATTTTAAAGAAAAGAATTGTTTTTAAGTATGTCATCAAAAATAAATTATAGTAGGTATTTGTATAATTATAAATCATATTAAAAAAAAAATAGAAAGTTTAATTTTTTTTCCAGATTTTGAAATAGTAAGTGTTACATAAAATGGAATTGGGGGTGTATGCTTTGTATATATCTCAATCGATCACGTCCGATGAAGAACATTAAAGGCAACATGTTTGTCAAATAGGGCAGATTTTCTCGAAGCTACTCTCAATAAGTTCACCATTTATGAAAGAGTCTCACTCGGTTCATTGAACTTCTTGACTAGTCTTTCAATTTGAATAAAGCACTCAAACAATAACAACAACAACAACCCAGTATAATCTCACAAGTGGGGTCTGGAGAGGGTAGAATATACGCAGACCTTACCCTTACCCCAGAGGGGCAGAGAGGCTATTTTCGAAAGACCTCGGCTCGAGAAGAAGAAAAAAATAAACAATAGACAATAGATCAGTGACAGCAATAGAAGATAAAAATATTAACAGCATCGTAAGAAATAGAAAAATAGATATAAAAGCAATAACTATAAACAACAATACTACCATAGAAAATAGTGAGGAAACTACATAAATCACTAACAACCCACAACGAAACAACAACAGGCCAGCCCCGCCCCCGGAACAACCCTAACCTACAACCCTAATTTTCGACCTCCACCCCTTCCTATCTAGAGCCATGTCCTCGAAGATCTGAAGTCGCACCATGTCTTGCCTCACCTCACTCATGAGTATAGATAATTTTATATATATAAGTAATTCGGCACGTCTGTACAAGATTAATCAGCTAGATCAATGGCACCGTTGAACTTAGTAGTGCTGCAATGCTCCAAGTTTGAAACTTGTTTGATAAACCAAATCACGTTTTATAATACACATTATTTTGATCGAGATGGATTTTTTAAATTCAGGACATTACTTTTTTTCCAACATGATATTTAGTAATTGAAGTTGCATATATTTTTTAAACATGTACGTATTTGCTAAGTCTTTTTTACCTCAAAATGGTCCTATAGGAAAAGAAGTTCCATTAGAAAATTTCCATATCCTCTTTGTCTTCCATTTTAAAACAAGCTTTATACATCCAAGATCAATTAATAAGCTCTTTGTTGATTGATTATTTCATTAAGCTTAGCTAAGCAATTACTCGTCTCAAAGTAAACTCTTCATTTTCTGACAGCTTAAAAAATGACTAGCATTCGACGTGACACACGTTGTAATCAAGAAAATAACAATACAAGAACATACACAAGTAATATATGGTGAATATCGATATCAGTGTGCCAGCTAATTGCATCTGAATTAATACAGACAAGTGATATAACTATCCTCCCCTTCAATTATTGTTACAGGGTAAAAAATCTCAGGTGTGATCCATCAGTATTCCAATGGTTTTATATAGTCTACCTGCAATAGCAGATCAAAAGAATGCTATCAGAGCCTTTCTCAGTCTTTGGGCATTCTCTTTTGTCCATAAAGAGCAGTATCATCTGAATGAGATTATGACTTAGTCGGTCTAGTATGAAACACTCTGTATGTAAATAATTTACAAAAGAAACTATCTCGTCAATAAATTCGGACATAAAAGCTAGAAACTATGGAAGTTGTGAAAGTGCAGGTGAATAACACATGATAACAGTTGTGAGTAGCGAAAACTGATACAAAAGGTAGGAAGTTGAATGGTCTAGGAGTAGAGAAAATTAATGTTCATACTCAAACGACGACGAAAGAAGCTTCCGTCTCAAGGGCTTGTAATTTGTCTTTATCATTCCAGGAAAGACACTACCAATATTGTGCTTGTTCTTTTCAATTATGTGACTAGCTGTTTAAATCAGTGTCACTAACATTATAAAAGTCAAGAGCATGGTTGAATTTTTTGGTCATGCTTACAGAAGTACCATCGATGAGAATGATGCAGTATCTTAGATGATCACTAAGTTCAGTATAACCATTGGAGAGTGAATTTGTGTATCATATTCATTGAGAAGTTCCATGCTTCTTGGTTTGGGATTGTCTATTATGAGTCCTAATATTCTCTAAGGTCTGGCTTTTCAATTAAGCTTGTCAATACCATGAAAGTGAGAAAACAAACGGAAATAGATAATTTAAGGAAGTTCTTTCATGTTAAAACGTGTGTCTGAGATATTACCATTACCTATTTATAGGTCAACAGGGACCCTCAATCCATCATGCGCAAGTTGAACTTCTATACCTTCTCTGCAAGCAAATAATCGTGTAAGTTCCAGACAAACTGCTAATCATTAAATTACGCCCTTTTAGAGAATCATATTAGACGACATACCTTCTAGACCATTCCACTAGGAACTCATTGTCTTTGTGGTGGTCAAATTCATGTGTCATTCCAATTAGTAGAGCTCTCTTTGGGCATAGCATCTTTAATGCCTCAAGAGTCTGGAAGATTAAATATTTTCAAATCTGAAAATAGGCATAAACAACACAAAGGTCGAACGGAGATTCCTATAAAGTAAGCACACCTGAGTAAGGCAAAGGTGAACATTGTG